GGTAGCACTCCAAATACACGAACAGGAACCATCTGAATTGCTGCTACCAGACGAACAGGAAAAGCTCCCAAGCGGCTTACACTCCTGGCAATCAGTCCTTAGCAGCATACAGTAAATCCCCCCAAAGACGAGACAAGGCTCCGTGTTGAGGGTCAAGCAGTGGTCTGTTTAATGAGGGCTACCTGCCCAGCTTTTATGCAGGTCTCCCACCTGGTGGACACTCCCCTAGGGGACCAAATGGGAGACTGTGACAAGGGACAGACAAGTATACAAAAAGGACACACAGTCACAGTATATTCCCACAATGCATCCTGGCTTCCTCCCCTCTGCCCTGGGAGATAATTGGGAAGTAACTCAATTATCTCCCAAGACAAAGGCAAAACTCCATTACACACGTGGGAACACAAAACAGCATTATACTTTAAAATACATAGAGTAACATTTACTACATTAAACACAGGCATGTAACACATCCCCAGATAGCTCAGGTCTGAGTGCACATTATTAGGTGAATGGCACTCAGACTACACGAATACAGTTCAATCGCCATGGAGCCAAAGACTTTACAGTCAGTTTCATACGAATGGGCTCCATGGGATTCCTATCTGGGGTATAAGACATTCACACAAAAATACCGAACACCGGGTCATTCGTGTGCTTTCACCGAACAAGAAGGGAGGTCGTCGGCTTCAGCGGTGTTCGCGCAAAACTGTGTCCGATTTTAGTTCCATGAAAATAGAGGCGAACACCGCTGTTCATTCGTATGGTTTAAAATGGCCGCGACCTCTTGTTCGGGATACGAACGGCGGCCACCCAGCGTTCATCAATTAAGCTGCTGTTAACCACAGCTTCAGGGAGGTTAATTGCCGGCACACTCCAGCTCCCAGGTGGTCCAGTCATTCGTACGGTTGTTCGGTAGACTGAAACTACCGAACAACCGGCAGAAAAGCATGAATATGGCTTTTCTGCATGGAAAAATAAAGTCTTTTAAAAGGGGGCCATAGTCCAAAGGCAGCAGGCGAGCAACCAGGCTTCTCCAATGCAATGTGGCGAGATTGGTCTCGTCACAGTATCGTTGACAGTGATAATATTGGCGCTCTGTGGAAGCCAAGACAGGATAACCAGGTGTGGTAAGTAGAGGCGTTGGTAGATACTTCAGGCGGTCCGCCAAAAATAGAGCTGCAGTCCAGCATTGGGGGGGTCCCATGTGCTCTCCAGGCTGCTCCTCGGTGTCAATTGAGAGCGCTCCAGACCGGACCCCAGGAAATGAGTGCAGCTCAGTTATTGTTGCCCGCATAAGGCGTCAAGAGCCCCGAGGGAGACCACCTTCTCCATGGATTGCATGACAGGCTCTGCCACCATCTTGGTGTACTCATGTGAGGGTGATAGCTTGGTTGCTTCATCTAAGTGTTGCTTCTAAGTGTGTAGTTGGAGATATTCTGGAGAGTTTTACAGAAGCTTCAACTGTCTAAGAGTTGTGCTAAGAGCTTTCTTTTCTACTGTTACTGGTAAGAGTCATCTGTAGGAAAAGGTTACTGATTGCACAAGGTTTGAATTCCTGTTGGTAATTATAAGGCATTTGATTTGATTAGTTAACTACTTGCTATTGATTGCTGTTTAAATTAGCTATTGTTTGCAAATAAGCAGAGGCCTACCCAGGTGTTAAACATTCCTAGTGGGTGGTGATTTTAGGAGTTATATAATTAGCTTGGCTAATATAGCTTGGTTGCTTCATCTAAGTGTGTAGTTGGAGATATTCTGGAGAGTGTTGCTTCTAAGTGTGTAGTTGGAGATATTCTGGAGAGTGTTGCTTCTAAGTGTGTAGTTGGAGATATTCTGGAGAGTGTTGCTTCTAAGTGTGTAGTGGGAGATATTCTGGAGATAAACTGGAGGTAATCTGAGGTATTCAGGAGGATAAATAAAAAGTTAAGAGTCGTTTGATTTAAATTCTCCTCATTGGAATGGCAGACTTAGTTCAGTGTAATAGATGCTATGCAATTGTTTTCATGTTCCACTTTTTGGAGGTTTGGTTGTTGTCTAATCTGTAGACAGTTCTCTATCTTGCGGCAGGAGATTGTATTTTTGAAGTCTGAGATTTGTAAATTATCTGGTGAACAAACTCAGACTGGAACTACTGCAAAGCCACTGCCGCAGAGACATACTAGGAATGGCAGATGGATTACTGTAGGATCTGGTAGACTTAGAGTTGTGGATAAAAGGCATATTGCACAGTCTGTTGCTCCACATAATTCATTTTCTGCACTTTTAGAGTGTAATGGTGTTATGGAGAGAGGCACTGAAGCTAGTGGTGTTGTGGAGAGGGGCACTGAGGCTAGTGGTGTTGTGGAGAGGGGCACTGAGGCTAATGGTGTTGTGGAGAGAGGCACTGAGGCTAGTGGTGTTGTGGAGACCAGCTTGGAGACTATGGTGAGGCCTAAGCACTTGTTGTTGGGAGATTCCATCATAAGAGGTGTGGAGATGGACAATGGTGGTCATGTGAGGTGTCTTCCCGGAGCTACTGCTCACAGAGACAGGAGACGTATCTGTAATATTGTTAAGCAAGCAAAGCAGGAAGGGGAATTGGATGTACTTGTCCATCTAGGGACAAATGACTTGGCTTGCAATGAGGTTTCAGAGGTTAAGGAAGTTTTTAGTGTTTTGCCAATGATATACGGCAGGTTGCTTCCACACTGTCATTCTCTGAAGTTCTGCCTGTGCATAACACTCAGAACGACAGGCGGATGCGTATTAGGGACTTAATTTGTGGCTTGGTGAATGGTGTCGGGAGCAAGGATTTGGCTTTATTTCTCATGGTAGCTCTGTTTGGAATGGAGATAAGCTGTACAAAAAAGATGGTTTGCATCTTTCTCAAAAGGGAACAAATGTTCTCAGTGAGCAGTTCAGAGGTTTTGTTAGGATGTATTTAAACTAGGAGGGGGGGGGGGCAAAAGGGTGATAAAACATCAATCCAATTGTCCCCCAAAACAAGGACAGAAGGTGCCTGTAGCAAGTGTGTTAAAAATGATAAGCTTAGAGTCATGTCTACAAATGCTCGCAGTTTAGGGAATAAGATCCATGAACTTGTGGCAATAATGGCAACTGATAGTGTAGATTTAGTCGCTGTTACTGAGACATGGTACAATGAGAAAAATGACTGGGACATAGCATTACCAGGGTACTCATTATATAGAAAAGATAGGGAAGGCAAGAAAGGGGGAGGGGTAGCCCTGTATGTAAAGGATAGCATAAAATCTAGCCTAATAAAAGTTAGTGAGGCGAACATAGAGTCCGTTTGGGTTACGTTAGAATTTGGTAATCACACAGTAACTCGTGTAGGTGTGATTTATAGGCCCCCAGGACAAATTGAAGAGTTAGATAATCTACTAGTGGAGGAAATGGCTAAAATGACAATGAAGGGGGAAGTTATCATCATGGGTGACTTTAATCTACCTGATGTAAATCGGAAAACAAAATTAGCTACTTGTGCCAGGAGCACACATATTCTAAACTCCCTACTGGGATTGTCTCTAAAACAAGTTGTTGAGGAGCCAACTCGTAAAGAGGCCATACTAGATTTAGTGTTAACTAGTGATGTCGCGAACCCGAAATTCCGCAAATGTTCGCGAACCGGCGAACCGCCCTAAACGCCATTGACTTCAATGGGGAGGCGAATTTTAAAACACACAGGGACTCTTTCTGGCCACAATAGGGATGGAAAAGTTGTTTCAAGGGGACTAACACCTGGACTGTAGCATGCCGGAGGGGGATCCATGGCAAAACTCCCATGGAAAATTACACAGTTGATACAGAGTCTGGTTTAATCCATAAAGGGCAGAAATCACCTAACATTCCTAAATCACAATCAATATGGATTGACACCTGACATATGACATATTGACACCTTGACATATGGATTGACACCTGTCCTCAGAGCCCCTGATACACACGACACAGAGCAGAATAGAGACTGTCCCCCTACATAGGGTCACTTGGCAGATATGGATTGACACCTGTCCTAAGGATCCCTGATACACACTGACACAGAGCAGAATAGGGACTGTTCCCCCTACATAGGGTCACTTGGCAGATATGGATTGACACCTGTCCTAAGGTTCCCTGATACACACTGACACAGAGCAGAATAGGGACTGGTCCCCCTACATCGGGTCACTTGGCAGATATGGATTGACACCCTGTTACAAACTGCTATTTGTAACGGGCCCTTTAAATGGCAAATTGCCCTGCTTCCCTGGGTTGTGGAGAAGCCTACTTGCCAGCCTCCTCCCGCATGACTATGGCCCCTGGGAGATTGTGAAATGTATGCACTTTTATTTGGTGTGTATGGCCCTTTAAGACTGTCGGTGGGCATATTGGGGCTTATGGACTCTTTATGTGACTGGTGCTGGCCCTTTAAACACCTTGGGACATCAGGAAGATTGGGACACTGCCCCTTTAAGGCCGTGTCCCCAGACTTGTTGGGGACACGGCCCCTTTAAGACGGTGTCCCCTGTGTCCCCAGACCTGGTGCAAAACCTTTGTGCCTGCCTTGCTATTTCCCACTTGGTTCAGTAAATGGGAAATTATTTCAGCTGCAGAGACTAAGTCCCATTCGGCGATGGGACTTAG